CTCTAAAAGGAGAACTACAAACCCTTGAAGAAAGAGATTAAGGAAGACTACAGAAGATAGAAAGATCTCCCATGCACATGGGTTAGTAGAATAAACATAATAAAAATGGCTATACTACCAAAAACAATCTACATCTTTAATGCAATTCCCATCAAAATCCCAATGACATTCATCACAGAGACTGAAAAATCTACCCTAAAGTTCATTGGGAAGCACAAGAGACTGAGAATAGCCATGGCAATGCTCAGCAAAAAGGGCAGTGCTGGAGGTGTAACAATACCCAACTTCAAACCTTATTACGAAGTAATAGCAATAAAAACAGGCATGGTACTGGCACAAAAACAGACATAAAGAACAGTGGAACAGAGTAGAAGACCCCGATATGAATCCACACAGCTATGCCCACCTTATTTTAGACAAAGGTGCCAAAAACATACAATGGAGAAGAGACAGCCCCTTCAACAAATGTTTCTGGGAAAAGTGGTTATCTGTCTGCAAAAAACTGAAACTAGATCCTTGTTTATCACCCTATACTAGTGTCAACTCAAAATTGATCAAGTACCTTAATATCAGACCCAAAACTCTGAAGTTAGTATAGGAAAGAGCAGGAAATACTCTGAAAGTAATAGGTATAGGCAAGGACTTCCTTAGCAGTTCGGCAACTAAGAGAAAGGATGGACAAACGGGACTTCATAAAATTAAAAAGCTCTGCAAACAAAAGAAATGGTCTCTAAACTGAAGAGATCACCCACAGAATGGCAGAAAACATTTGCCAGCTATACATCAGACAAAAGACTGATAACCAGGATATACAGGGAACTCAAAAAACTAAACTCTCCCAAAGTCAATGAAACAATAAAGAAATGAGCAACTGAACTAAACAGAACTTTCTCGAAAGAAGAAATTCAAATGGCCAAAAACACATGAAAAAATGCTCGCCATCTCTAGCCATAAAGGAAATGGAAATCAAAACCACACTAAGATTCCACCTCATCCCTGTTAAAATAGCTATCATCAAAAACACCATCTACAAGAGGAGTTAGTGAGGATGTGGAGGAAAAGGAACCCTTGTACACTGCTGGTGGGAATTCAAGCTAGTGCAGCCACTCTGGAAAAAAATGTGGAGGCTTCTTAAAAATCTAAACATAGATCTGCCATGTGATCCAGAAATCCCACTCCTGGGAATATACCCAAAGGAATGAGACACAGGTTACTTCAGAGGCACCTGCACACCCATGTTTATTGCAGCACTATTCACAATAGCCAAGTTATGGAAACAGCCAAGATGCCCCACTACTGACTAATGAGTTAAGAAAATGTGATACTTGTGCACAACGGTGTTTTAGTCAGCCATGAAGAAGAATGCAATCTCATCATTGTCAAGTAAATGGATGGAACTGGAGAACATCATCCTGAGAGAGGTTAGTTAGGCTCAGAAGACCAAAAATCGTATGTTCTCCCTCATTTGCAGACTTTAGATCTAGGGCAAATACAGCAATGTTGTAGGACTTGGGTCACATGCTAAGGGGAGAGCACATATGGGAGGTACAGGGATAGGTAGGAAACCCAAAACATGAAAGTGTTTGATGTCCTCCCTGCAGAGGAGCTAATACAGAAACCTTAAAGCGACAGAGGTCAATATGGGAGGGGGATCAGGAACTAGTGAAAAGGTCAGGTAGAGATGAATGAATTTGGGTTGTAACACACTTGTGCATGGAAGCAATGTTAGGAATCTCTCTGTTTAGCCATCCTTATTCAACTAGCAAAAATACTTTGTCTTTCTTATTATTGCTTATGTCTTCAACAAAATTGGAGAAAAGGGCAGAAAAGGTTTTTCCTGGAAGCCAGCGGCTTTGGGGTGGAAAGGGAGGTGGCAGGATTAGAGGGGAGAAATGGCCCAAACATTGTATGCACATGTGAGTAAATGAATAAAAAAAACTTGCCCAGAAGACCCAATACGATATTTCTTCATTCAATCTTGTGGCATTATTTACATATTTTGGCATATAGTTGTAACTATGTTGTGAATTAAGCTACTGAAATATTTCCAAAGTTTACTTTGATTTATACACAGTTAGTATGCTTGCTATCTCCATAGTAAGGTCTAGAATTTTGTCCATGTCCAATAATGTTGTAATTTTTGTCACTGTTTTTGAGTTTAGTTGTTGATACCCAGAACTCACTTTTACTCTTTGTATTTACTTGGTATATCCTGAGTCTTGGGCAGTATATTCAGGAAGTACTCTCTAAAATGTCTGTACAATATTTGCAGGAAATGAAACATTTTAATCATGAAAGTGATGACCTTTATCTGGTAATTAATAGAACTCATATTTCATATTGTTCCAAGCTGGATTGGTCAGATTTCCTTAATTTCATTTTTTCCATCCTCCACTAAAGGGCATAGGTATTTATGTTGTATACCTTATGATTTAGGCTAAAAAGTTCTATATTGTAATCATTTGTGTCTGTCTATAAAATCAAGTCATTTTCAGTAGAAGGGAGAAAAAAGGGAGGACCATAGTTGGGGTGAACATAACTGAGGTATATTGTAAATATACATGGAAATGTTACAATGAAACCAATTTGTTCTAGTAATGTGAGCTAATCAAAATGTTAAAAATATAAAATCAAAGTGAAAACAAGTATCTACAGCTTTAGTATGAGAGTTTGAAATGAAGCTCTTATAATTCTGACATCAGTTTTCCCAGCTTATGCATTTTGTTGAATACATCTGGAATTTTAATTCTTTTTCTCATGAAAAATTACTTAAATTATATTGTTACAATGTTATATTTTTTAAACTCACAAGGTTATGTCTTTTGCACATTATTTTTGTGCTCCACAGTCTGCCTGTTATTGGATATGTTTTTATTTTGTTGTTCTTTTCCCCAAGTAAATATTTCAGAAATTGTTTACAAGTTATAAAAGTTTGATTTTTCACATGTCTAAAAAGCCTATACTTCTACTTCATTTCTGAATTCTAGTTTTCTTATGTATTTTGTGGAAAATCATTATTCAGTGAACTAATAAAATCTCTATTCCCTGTAGTCTCTCTTTAAAAACATTGAATATGTGAAGCTTTATTTTAATCAGATTCTAATTCACTGTTTGTGATTTCATTCTCTTTTGGATGTTTTATAATTTAAAAAGATTCTCAAAAATGTAGGAATGTGTTTTTTTTTACTTTAATATTCTTTACAACTTTGCAAAGTCCTTTGGAGTTTTCATCAGTTTAGGAAAGTTTTTTTTCCTTATTTCTATGCTCTACTATTATTATAATATTTACTATCATCATCATTATAATTATTAAACTTTTGGTGATTCTAGAGTTTAACTAAGAACCTCACACTTACTTTGTAGGTTCTCTATCACTGAGTCAGCCTCCACCAAATATGCCTTCCTATAGGTGTCCACATAGCTGCAATGATAAGTGTGTACTAGCAGGCCAGGCTTATTGGTTGAGACAAGGTCTCATTAAGTTTTTGCTTAGGCTGGCCTTGAACCATTATCCTCCTGAACTCTACCTCCCACATTGCTGGGATTTCTAAAATGAACCACTGTGCTTAGCTAAGTTTTTCAGTCTTAAGGTAGATTTTTGTTTTACCATTATATTTCCTTAAAATGCTTGTGATGGTATGAAATAAAATAAGCCTTTATAGTTCTTTGTTGGGGATGTAAATTAGTATAGTCACAATGGAAAGCAGTATTAGCTTCACCAAAAATAATAATAAAAATATATCATATGCTATAGCTAACCCACCTCCGCTTATATATCAAAATGAAATAGAATAAACAAATTAAAAGGATGCCTGCATTCTTTGTTTATTGTAACACTATTCATAACAGCTAAGATGTAATATCAGCTTAACTGTTAATCAAAGATGAGTAGATAAAGAAAATGTGGTCAAAATACACAATGGAATATTATTCATAATATACAATGAAATTCCAACCTGTGTAGCAAAGTGGATAGATTTGGAGGACATTATCCTCAGTGGAGTAAGGCAGATGAAGAAAGATGATTATCACATTTTTTCCCTCCTATGTGGAAGTAAACAACAACAAAAAGTTGACTTGATTGTAAAAGAGCAATTACTAGAGTTTGGAAAGGGATGGGAGTAGGTAGTGGATAAAGGGAGGTTAGATTTGATCAGTGACTGCTATATGCATGTGTTGAAATATTATCCTGAATCCCATTAATATGTTCAATTAATACATATTAATGAAAAATAAAATATTAAAATAATTTTAGTCTTTAAATATTATCCATGTCTGTGAGTTTGTAACACTTTCAAATAATTTTCATATCTAATGTACGAGTATTTTCTCCCCACAGGAGAAAATAAATGCATGCTGGAGCTATATATAGGACACTAATTTGGAACTGATTATAAGGTAGCTAACAAGGCTGCACAGCCAAGGATCTTTCTTCTGTTGTGTTTAAGCAGTTTATTTCCTTGATGTGGTAGATTCCATCAATTGTCTACTAACACTTCATCCCCTTGGGAGTATTATTGTTTATACCTAATAGAATAGGGCTCTGCCTAGAGAATTAAGGTATCTCCAAATTCTGTAAGAAAAGGCTGTTTTTTTCTCCCCTAAGGTGAGAAGATGCGTGGAATCATCCCTGGCATCTTATGGGAAAAGTAACTAAGAGAATGCTTCCTTGTCCACTTATGTCATGATGGATTTTGGAAGAAGGGATATTCTTTTTCATCATTTATCAGGTACATGAGCTGCTGCTAGTCCTCTGAATATTTGATACTTCTCAACTTTACTGTTAAAATATCACCTTTATGGTTAAGTTTAATAGGAACTTATCAGAAGCAAAGGTATTCTATTTCTTTTAATATCTACCAACAGACCAAAGTGTATCAAAGATAAACAGAGTTTAACCAAAGTTCAAAGACTTTGTACTTGTTTGGTGATCAGAGGGCACAGTATTTATAGAATCCTTGAAGTCAAAGCTTTCAATTGCACTTACACAAAGTGTATCAATGGATCTCTTTATCTTCCTGGGGATTGGTCTTTCTTGTTTGATTCTTCTTTCTCTGTGGAACCAAAGCTATGTCAAAGGGCAGCTCCCACCTGGCCCAACTCCTTTCCCAATTGTTGGAAATATTCTACAGTTAAATTCTAAGAATATCAACAAATCCCTAAGCATGGTAAGTATGATAAATTTCTTTCAGTTGTATGCAATAACTGGCTCCAGATGGATTTAATGGCCACTCAGAAGTGATTTTAGAATATATTAGAATTTGAGAGCAGAAGCCTGAATTTGGGGTCTTAACTGGCTAGGTTTGTCCACTAATCCCAAAGGAAAAACAGGCAAAGTCAATGGGAAACAGGAAAATGTATTTTAATTTCAGTGTTTTCAAGGAAAAAGAGATCTAAGGGTTGTGTTTGGGTGACAGTGGCAGTCTAGAAGTTTATAGAGGGGGAAAGGCAAGGGCAAGATTTGAAGGCGTTTGACTAGAACACAGAGTCTTCTTAGTGGCAAGGAGGTGATTACTGCTTGTGAGCAGGAGGTAAATCTTCATGTGGTGAGAAGGAAATTGCCTGGAGTTGTTACCCATGAGGTTGCTACTGCTCAGGTGTAGTTTCTGTTTGCTTCACACGTGTCTTGTCTATCAGTCCTATATCCTGGAAAGGGGGTGATTTGGTTCCTATGAGATTGTTGCTCCTGTTTAAAGGCTGTCTTCATCATACTTACAAGGCACCACTGCTCCTGGAAGGTATAGGACAATGATTAAATATATCTAATTGCTACTCTAGAGGGTATGGAATAGGAAGGTGTGAATGTGTCTGTAAATCTTGAGAACACCTTGGTTACCTTTGTTTTTCACCATGCTGATGTGCAGAGTTGAGCAGGAATCTCACTCCAAGTTTAAGGTAAAGGAGACAGAAATTAAAGGCAGAGATATCAAATTTTATCCTTTTTTAATCTATTCGAATCTGCAGGCCCAAGTGAAGATTGAAGAGATTTTATTTGTATATTTTTAGCAATCCTAACCCTAAGTCCTTGTTATACAGAGAGCTATAAGGAGATGAAATCCATGAGATATACAATTTTTGTCAAAACAATTGTCAAAACAAGACTTCTTTGTTCACATTTTGATGTAGGTCCCTTTCTTTTAGTAATTATTCTTTGATGAACTATCTTGGAAATGAAACCGTTCTTCGTTTTAAACAAGCTACTGACTGAGCCTCAGTAGCAAATTTTTCTAAAACACCTGCTGATTTCAAGTCAATTACATGACTAGGCTGGACATGTAACTCAGAGTTAGAGCTCTTGCCTAGCATGTAAAAGACCCTGGATTCCATCACAAAACCACACTCACAAAAAGAAGACATAGCTAATGTTTCAGTAATTTTGACATTTTCTATTATACAGATATACTGAATTAGATAACTTCTGTACACCAAAGTATTTATACAGTGGTAGCTCTCTGAAGCCTGTAGAATGATCAGAAATCTGCCTTCTCCCTGAACCAGCTAGTTGCCAGAGTACTGCCCCTGGAAGTTTCTGCTTCCTGTGCCTTGAACTATAGGTAAAAGAGATGGTGTCAGCAGCTCAGGTTATCCATTTGCCTATTTATAGCTTTGGACATGCTGTCAATATCTCGAAGCTATAATTTCCAGTTCTTTAAGATGTAAATAATAATATTATTTCAAAGGTTACTTGAGTACATAATGCACTCAACAGTAATTAAATGGTTAGTTTGCATTAAGCACTCTGTTAGGTGCTTGTAGGGTATTTTAATAGTGAGGGAAAATTTAAAAGGACCCTTGGGATATAGAACTTACAATCTGGGGAACAGGTATATATGACCAGGTTGCCATGTTCTCATATATTATTAATACTTAGAGCATGTTAGTGTTGAAAAGATGATGAGGAGGGTAATGAAGGATGATTATTAGTCCACACATAGGGTAACTGGGAGGGACTTCGCTTAAAGAGAAAGAGAAATACATCATTTATTGTAAGAGCAGGCAGGAAGAAAAAGTTGAAGAAATTATATGCTTGACCAGAAATGTTAATGAAATAGTATGGATAACAGCATAATATAGTGATTGTCACATAGTAGGATCTGCATATGAATAACAATAATAGCAACATAACAAATAATATGAGAATTATCCATTTTATGTATTTCCTTATTAAATTTTGGAGTCTAAAAGTTCAATTCTTTTATAATGGGTGAATGAATATGAAAATGTCTCTCCAGGAAGATTAAATTAAAACACATTTCCCTTACTTATGAACATTTTGGTTTTGAAGCCCTCTCTTTTCTTGAATCTCCTGTTCCTTGTCCAGCTAGCACAAGAGTATGGTCCTGTGTTCACTCTGTATTTTGGCATGAAGCCCACTGTGGTGTTGCATGGATATGAAGCAGTGAAGGAAGCCCTGATAGACCAAGCAGAGGAGTTTTCTGGTAGAGGGAGTTTCCCAGTGATTGATAAAATCTGCCAAGGACTAGGTATGGTTCTTGTTGGGGGAATGTCCATGAAATTTTAAATTACAAAGACTCCAATAAGCAAAGAGTTGAGAAATTGCAACATTTAGAAAGATGCTTATAAAACACTTTTCACAATTCCAAAATGAACTCAAAAATAATTTTTAAAATTGTGTTAAATTTTAATTAACATGCATTAGTTATGCATATTAATGGACTTAGTATATTTCAATGCACACATAAAGTGTGCACTGGACAGATGGAGACTTTCTTTTTCTACCCTTCCCTCGTCCATTCCTAACCTCTAGTAATCACTAGTGAATACTTCTTCTATAGGGATCAATCATTTACCTGTATTTAAGATATATTAATGTGATTATGACCCCCTGCCTCCATGAAACATTAAATACAGTGAAAGTAGACTTTGAAATCACTAATGCTCTGTGAATCTGTGATTACTACACTTTCATTTTAGAGGATGTGCATGATGGCTCACTCCTACCTACTCAGGAAGCAGTTACAGAGACATCATCCCACTCAATAAGCTGGGTGTGCGGGTGCACAGTGTCATCCCAGCTTTGTAGGAAGTATAGGTGTAAGATTGAGGTATTAGGCCTGCTGAGGGTAAAAACGTGAGACTCTACCTGAAAAATAACTATAGCATGGAAGAGCTGGACTTGTGGCTCAAGTGGCAGTGCACATGTTTAGCAAGCATGCCACCCTAAGTTCAAACCCCAATACCACCAAAAATAAGGCATTAAAAATTAAATTTATCTTGTTAAGATAATAAGGAAGAGACTGAGAAAACAGCAAAGGGAGAATAAAGTATTTATTAAATTATTTATTTAATAATTTGCCTGGTGGCCTGTAACTTGGATCCAAGAGACTATATAAGAAGCTTGTGTAGTATGGGAACCAATATATATTTGGAATATTTCCAGACTTGCCTTCAATCTTCTATTTCTTTACACATGCCTAAGAAATACTAGAAGCCAACAGAATATAAAGCATAAAGTACAGGTATCATCTGAAAAGAGGATCAAGGAGAAACACAGTGATTATACATTGAATGATGTTAGAAAAGATTTTTAGAATTAAGTGCAGGTGCTCCTTGATTTACATCCCCATTACAACAGCAAAACTGAAAATATCCTAAATCAAAAATGAATATAATACATGTAACCAAACAAAATTAATAACCTAGAAAAACAGCACATTTTAAAATGCTGATTACTCACATGTACGGGAAATCAATGTGAGTCAATGCCCTGTATAGCTATCCTTATCTCAACCAGCAAAAACACTTGTTCCTTCCTATTATGGCTTATAGTCTTTCTACAACTAAAGTAGAAATAAGGGCAAAATAGTTTCTGCTGGGTATGGAGGGGGTGGGGGGGGAGGGAGGGGGCGGAGTGGGTGGTGAGGGAGGGGGTGGGGGCAGGGGGGGAGAAATGACCCAAGCCTTGTATGCACATATAAATAATAAAAAAAATAAATAAATAAAATGCTGATTACTTACCTCATGATTTCTTGGGTGACTGAGAGCCTTGACTCACAGGAGCTGCCCAGGATTAGGAGAGAAGATTGCATTATTGGTCAGCCTAGGAAAGGATGAAAATTCAAACTTTGTCTTATGGTTCTATTGAATATGTAACCCTTTTGCACTGTTGCAAAGAAACAAAATCTTCAGAAGTTGAACTACTTTTTAAGTTGAGGACCATTGTATATGAACTGTTTATTTTGCAGCTGGCTTTAAGAGCTCCATTTTTCTGGCAGATCACTAAATTCTAGAAAGTAGACTTCCAAGTAATGCCTTCCTATGTTTCATGGAAGAGGTAGGTATAAAAATATGATGAGCTATTTTTCAATAACAGAATAAATATATCCTTTACTTGAAGAATATATTGTCATAAGATTTTTTCCAATGTAGAACTTATCTCTTCCCCGCTCCTCTTCTCTCCCTCTCACTCTCTTCCTCCCTCCTTTTCCTATTTATACTCTCTCCCCCTCTTTATTTCTCCCCTCTTTATCCTCTCTCCCCACTCTACTGTTTCTCTCCAGGATTCCTCCCTCTCAGACTCCCTGTCTCTCTCTTTTTCTCCTCCCCTTTAGTTTTTGTGGTGCTGAGTTTTGAACCTAGGGCTTTGTACATAATAAGCTATCTTTCTAGCACTTACCTATATCACCACCCCTACTTTCTCATGAGAATTGCCTCCCTCTGATGATCATTCTAAAATTTGAAATAATCAGGAAAGTGAAACATAAAAAATTAAATTATGGCTTGGACTCACCTGTATATTAACTGTGTGATAATAGAGCTAGCATTTTGATTCAAATGACGATCACTTGATGATCATCACTCCAAGGATGATCTTCAACAACCTTGTAAGTGAAATGGGTTGGATGGCACTAGTTTCACAGAATTACTCTGAGGTTTTGTGGAGCTAATTGGTTATTTAAAGCTTTGTAATAAAGAAATTCAAGAGTATCAGTAGTAAATAGAGGTGGGGCTCAGTGGGAAATCCTAAAACTGAAACAATTATATTTTTATGTCCCTGATTAAATGTTAGTATCACTTCTTTTGTTTTTGAGCTTAAAAAATTTTTTTTATTATTCATTTATTTGCATGTGCATACATTGTTTGGGTCATTTCTCCTTGAATGTGTTCAGCTGAAATCATGACAATAGAGGATATTCCTTTGTTTTTTCTTGTCCTTATAGGTGTTGTTTTTAGCAGTGGAGAAAGATGGAAGCAAATCCGGCGTTTCTGTCTCATGGTTTTGAGAAACTTGGGGATGGGGAAGAAAACTATAGAAGACCGGATTCAAGAGGAAGCCTTGTGTTTGGTGGATGCATTAAAAAAAACCAATGGTGCATTTTACTTGCATAAGTAATAGTAATATTTATGGTGTACTAAATGACACTACAAATAGATTTAAAGACAGGCTATGGAGTCCAAAGTACAACAGATATTTATTTTTGTTCCCATAATATTTGTAAAAGTGTGAAGTGGTTGCATAACAGTCTTTTCAGGAGCCAGGTTGACAGGTGTTTTATGTCTTCACCATTTGCCTGTCAGTATCATGCAAGAGATGAACCATAATCTGTGGTAGTGGATGGAGAAAAGATCAGGGAAAGAAGAGATGAAGAAAACTTCTCTCATATTCCTTTGGACCTGCCTCTGTAACATGGCAACACCTAATTGCAAGAGGAGCCAGAAAATGTTACTAGTTGGTACATAGGAAGAAAAGAAGACTTAGATGTTAGTATTCAGCCAGTCTTAGGCAAAACTAAGACTTGGAAAAGAAACAAATTGTTGAGAATCAATAAAGAAGCCACAAAATTCTTCCAATGTGTAGGGTGTAATTTGCTTCATATGAAAGTGTGGTGTGAAGGTGGGGAGCTAACAAACATAATTTTCAATGTGTGGATGTTTGTGTGCACATGTAGCCTGATGGTGGGGTAGGAGAAAGATTGGACAGGAGATCAGTTAGAAGGGCCTAAGATCAGAATTGTAAGATATGTGTAGTTTCAGAACATCAATGTTTAAATATTTAAAGAAAATTATTAGTATTACTTTATTCTCTATGGTGAATTGCCATTGTGTTTTTGTAGCAAATATTATTTAGTTATCCATATAGCGTTTTCCATATTTTAGCTATTAACATAAAATGCAATTATTACAAATGTTTGCTTAATCTGTTTTCTTCCTTAGAATGAATGAATTCTAGACATGGAGCAAGAATATTACAGAACATTATTTGGCCTGTCCATATTGCAAAGGAATAGGTCCAAGATTTGGCAGATATAGAGATAAATTTTTCTCTATATTGTTCTGCAAACTTATTTTTAAATATAACATATTATCTTCATGTATTTAACTTTTGAAAGTTTTTCAAGAACTGTATTAACAGAAGAGTATTACATTCCATTATTTTTGATGTAACATAGACCATAACTAGTGCTCTGTGTTTGACCAGATGGGTGTATTTTCAATCTTTAATGGCATTAATATAAAAATGAAACCCATCAAATCATGACATATCTCAGATTACTTTCTTAGAACAAAATTCTGGAAAAAATTTGTAAAGGGATGTCTGTTGGGGATCAAACATATTATGTGTAAGTGACTTTGTAAACTTAATTTATATAAGCAGACCTTGTGGTTACCTTGCTCAACTTACACATAAGGACTATGACCTTCTCTCAGGTTCCTAACCTGTTTTCACTGGCACTCTGCTTCATTCCTCCTTGCTGTGAGGTCCTCACATAGTTAGGAATGCCCATTTCATTGTCTATTACACATTGACAGAATTATTTTACTGTTGCTTTTTAATTTCATTTTGTAACATTATTGTTGTATTGGGGGTGCATTATCACATTTACCGAAGTTCTTACAATATATCATGGTTGAACTCACCCCCTCCTTCATTTTCCTTTATCCCCTCCTACCCTTGTTCCTGGAAGAGCTTCAACTGGTCTCATTTTTCCATTTACATACATATATACACAGTATTTGCACCATATTCACCCTCCTACACCCTTTCCCCACTTCCTCCCCCCTCCACTAGTACAAACAGGAGGACCCAGTCTGTCTTCCTGTTCTGTGAGTTTGTGAAAAAATTACATCTTTGTTTACTTAAGGTATCTATTCAGGGAGTTTCCTTGTGACATTATAACCCAAATTGTTTCATCTCCTCTGTTTTTCTCTTTCAATTTTATCAGGGTTAAAAATTCTATATTCATTCCTGTATAGAAAACACATCAACCATATTCACTTTCTTAACTCCCTTCTTTTACCCTCTCTCTTGTTAGTGACACCCCCTTAGCATGATCTGTTTTGTATAATATTACTTGCTTTGTATTTGGCCTGTATTTCACATATGAGAGAATACATGGAACCTTTGACTTTCTGAACCTGGTTAACTTTACTTAAGATGTAGTTCTCCTGTTTTACCCATTTACCTGCAATCAACAAAATTTCATTCTTCTTTATGACGGAATAAAATTCCATTGCATATAAATACCACATTTTCTTAATCCATTTATCAGTAGTGGAGTATCTTGTCTGTTTCCATAGCTTAGTTATTGGGAATAATGCTGCAATAAAAATGGGTGGGTAGGTGCCTTGCCTATAACCTGACTTACATTTTTTGGGGTATATCCCTGGGAGTGGTATTTCTGGACCATATGGCATTTATATTTTTTAGTTTGGTTAGGAGCCTCCATAATGTTATCCACAGTGGTTGTACTAATTTGCATTTCTAACAACAGTATATGAGGGTTCCTTTTTCCCCATATTCGCTCCAACATTTTTTGATGTTGTGTTCTTGATGATAGGTATTCCAACAGGAATGAGATGGAGTCTTAACTTGGTTTTTTATTTGCATTTCCTTTATGGCCAGAGATGTTGAACATTTATTCATATGTTTTTTTGGCCATTTGGACTTCTTCCTTTGAAAATATTTTTTCAGTTAGTCAGATGATTTCTTCATTTGGCTCATTGATTTTTGGGGAGTTTAGTTTTTGAGCTCCTTGAATATTCTGGTTATTAATCCCTTGTCAGATGCACAGTTGACAAAGATTTTCCTGCCATACTGTGGAATGCCTCTTCAATCTGGTGACCGTTTCTTTTGTTGTGTAGAAGCTTTTCATTTTCATCTAGTCCTATTTGTTAATCCTTTCTCTTAGTTGCTGAGCCTCTGTAATTCTATTTATAAGTTACTGCCTGTGCCTATTTGTTCCAGTGTGTTCTTTGGCCTTTCCTGCACTAGCTTCAACATTTTAGGTCTTATGTTAAGGTCCTTAATCCATTTTTAATTGATACTTATCAGGCTTAAAGACATGCATCTAGTTACACTTTTCTGCATGCAGACGTCCAGTTTTCTGGCCAAATTTTGAAGAGGCTGTCTTTTCTCCATTGTATGTATGGAGTGCCTTTGTAAAAAATCAGGTTAGGCATAGCTGTGTGGATTCATATTTTATTCCACAGGTCTTCATGTCTGTTTTTGTGCCAGTCCATTCTGTTTTTTATTGCTTTGACTCTGTAGTGTAGTTTGAAGTTGAGTATTGGGACACCTCTAGAATTGCTGTTTTTGCTCAATATTGCCTTGGCTGTTAATTCAATAGTTTTGCTGTTACCACTAAAAATAAGGGTGCAAAGGTCAAGAATAATGATTCCACACAAACTACTAGGATGTGAAAAGTTTTAACTCATGCAATGATACTTACTGTAAAGTAGGCTGACTCCCAAACCAGTCCAAAAATGGGGTGGAAAAGCAGGGCAACGTTTTGTCTTGAGGTTCTTGTGGTGGTAAGTGGGTTGGGCCAGGATAAGGGTCTCCTGTGCAGTCCAGGGATTGCGTGAGTAAACTTCCTGCTTGTGACAAACAAAGGAGTATTTGTACTTTTGAAATTTTTAATTATATATTTATTTTTGGTGGTACTAGGGTTTGAACTCAGGGACTTGCACTTTATAGTTTGGAGCTCTACCACTTAATCCATACCCACAGCCCTTTTTGTTGAGGTATTTTTGAATATGGTCTCACATTTATGTCTGGGACAGCCTGGAGCAGGATCCTCCCATTTATGCTTCCTGAGGATCTGGGATGACAGATGCACACCATCAAGGTCAGGCTTAATTGGTTGAGCTGAGCTGTTGTGAATCAGGTGGCCTTAAGTCAGGATCCTCCAGATCAGTGCCTCCCAAGTAGATAGGATTACTAATCCACAGTGCTCAGTTTAGCACTTGGGTTTTTACTTCTTTCCCACAGGTGGATAGAAGGGGAAGAACAAAGAGTAAAGCTGAAAAGCTGCAAGTATCCAAGCATCCAAACGTAGACTAGTGTTCTTTATTTCACAAACGAAGACAACTCCTAAAACCACAGTATATTTTTCAAATATCTGAGCATGACTTCACTTTCTCTTACTATCCTTCTCTTCTATTAGAAAAATGAAATTGATCATTTCAACTGTGTTCTGATAAATGCATTTTCTGGTTTCCTCAGTTTTTTTCATTTTTTAAAAATTAGGTTGCTAAGATTTCTATGAAGAATTGTCTATTCTGAGAGTTAAATTGCACACAATAAAACATGTTTAAATGCCTCTATTCATGTTTCCTCTTGTGAATTAGTAGATTTGAAATATAATTCACATAGCACATAATTCAAAGGAAAATGAACAAGTGACCTACAGTAAATTAGATACTTTTGTTTGGAAAAATATAGCAAACTTTTAAGCCTTGTAGTGTTTATAGATATAAAGACATTGCTAATACCTCACCTTCCTAATTATTGTAAATAGTAAATTTAAGATTTGTGTGAGAATTGTGTATTAACTTCAAACTTCCATTGTTCTGTAGGATCTCCCTGTGATCCTAGCTTCCTTTTGGCCTGTGTTCCCTGCAATATTATCTCATCAATCATTTTCCAGAATCGTTTTGACTATGATGATAAGAAATTCCACAGATTGATTGCGTACATTCATGAAAATGCCAGAATTGTAAGCACTCCTTGGATACAGGTAAGGCCAGTTCTACTTAAATGTGAAATTGTTTCAGGACACAACTCTATCTACTCACTGCTCTAAAGCTAGCACTTGGAAGATAAGAGTTGGTCTCATCTCGAAATTAAGTTTATTCAAGTGCTGGCACCAGGAGAAAATGGCTAGAAGCTATCATCCTTGAAAAACAAAAAGAGATGATTTTAGGGAATCAGTGTGTATGTAAGAAGTTTTATGTGGAGGAAGGAGGGTTGTGAAATGATAGTTAAGATAGATAGATAGATGTTATTAACTCATGTTGTAAATCACTGACAACTAACAGTGTATGTTGTGAGGTCATGATGTGTTCAACCTGGGAAGGACTCTGGAGAAAAAGCAAAATTTTCCCTCTTTTTAGGGAACACGATACTGAGCCTCAGAGGTATTAAACACAGTTTTCCAAAGTAGTTTAGCAAGACAGTTAGTTAGACTAGAATAAAGGTTCCTGATTCTGTATCTAATTTTATTCAAGCCACTGGCACAAGTATCTTGTTTGGTGTTCTGTCTGAAGCAAGGTTATTGAACACTAGGACCTACAAGACCAGTGAGTCAGGTCAATGTGTATATCCCTCAGGGCAGCAAATTCTTTGACACATTATGATAAGTTGCTTGAACTTCCTTATACATAATGATGTACTGTTTCTTTAAGACGGTAAGAGTAGCAGCCCTGAGAACTTTTTTAGTTGATTCCCTGGAGATACATGTCTAGGGAAAGTGGCCAGAACACTGGCTGTAGCATTGGTATCACTATTAAAATAGTAGACTAGCTGTTCTGAACTGCAATGTTCTCATTAGAAAACAGGTAACAGTAGGATAATTTCTTTAGAGAGCTGTGTTCGGGGAACCAGTGTAAGTGGCCCTGAAGTTGCTTTATTAACTGTACAAATGGTGACTCAGATCATTTCAGCAGTGCCCTGGCCTTCAAACTCTAAGTAAGTATTAGCTCAGGAGGTGACTTTTCCATCTTTACTCAGCATATAGCAAAGTTTCTGATACCTACAAAGTGTTTTTAAATGTTTGGCAAATAAGTTCATAAAAATTCTTTCCTCTTTCAGCTCTGCAATGTATTTCCTGTTTTACATTATCTCCCAGGAAGTCATAATGTGTTGTTTAAAAACACTGCTGACCAACAAAAGTTTATTTTGGAGAAAATAAAAGAACATCAAGAATCTCTGGACCCCAATAACCCTAGAGACTTTATTGACCATTTCCTGATTAGAATGGAAAAGGTATAGCTAGACCCTGACTTACTACTGTATGTTGTGGATAATGTTAGTCATAGATTGTTTTTCATGGTGAAACCAGGTTATTTACACATGTTTTTTTCTTACAATATAGTCATTGCTTTTTAAAATTCTTCTAATTGTTTTCTTCCTTTATTGTTGTGCCTGGTGGGGGTACAGTGGCATTTCACAGGTTCTTACAATGTATGAAATATATCTTATGTGAATTTACCCCCTCTACTGTTCTTTATCTCTCCTCCCCCAGTTCCAGGAGTAGTTTCAATAGGTATCATTTTTGCCTTTACATTCATGTGTATATTCATTGTTTGCATAAATATATAGTGAATGTCTGAGATATTATTAAGTAATTAGTGGTCTAATATGAGCAAGTATATATTATATATATATGTATATGTGTATAATTTTCTGTCAGTGTTGCAATTTGAATTCAAATTTGAATTCAGTACCTTGTTTATTATATATATATGTATCTGTGTATAATTTTCTGTCAGTGTTGCAATTTGAATTCAGTACCTTGTGTTTGCCACAGAATTTGGTATTTTGCCACATAAAGCATACCGCAGTGTTTTTTCGCTTTGGGTATTTTTTGAATACAGTCTTGCATTTATGTTTGCCAGCCTGAGCTTAGATCCTCCTATTTATGCTTTCTCCATAGCTGGGATGATAAATTTGTGCAATCATATTTGGCTTTTATAAGTTGATAAGGAATTTCACTAATTTTTAGCCTGGGCTGGTCTGGAACTCAATCCATCCAAATTCTTCTTCCTGAGCAAGAGGTTTTGCATTTATCATGTTAAAGATTGTTCTTTATTTGGGGCAAATTGAAGCACATACACACCCTTTCAAGACTGAAGATAATATGTCATTGCACATAAAATAACCTCCGTGAATGGAAGATATAGTAAGTTAGTGGGCACGGGAATGGATAATAATCTGCAGAGGCTCACTTTGTGGAGGATCTAGGATGCTTTCACAGTTGAGGTTTGTTTTGAGGAAATTCTGGCTGTGATTAAAAGCAGGATAAATTGGTTTTGGGGAATATGGTGATTAAATGTGTAGAAATTTTGATCTTCATTTTATTTGAGGTACAGTGGTGAGTGTTATGACTGATGAGGTTGAGAATAGTACACCTAACATTTTTATAACTGTTAATTTATTACTAGAATAAATTATATTGGATGTTAAAAAAAAAGAGAATAGTGAAGCAGTTTGGGGATGTGTCATAATGGATGATCAAATGAGAAATTTGATCAATCCTAGGTTGACAGTGAGTATCACAATATAATTAATAATAAATACATAATGCAATTTACTATATTAAAGTAAATATATTACTTCATTTATAATATAATGTATAATATATAATTTATAATAACTAAATATAATTTATGTTTGCAAAACACTACAGAGGATCTGACTTGTTCCAGTGTGTGAGAAGGTATGGAATCAGAAAGAACTTGGATACTTTAACTCTTAGTGTATGTTTTCATTGTGAAGGACTCTAATAGTCATCTACTTTACATTCTGCTACAGTATTCTGCAATGTTTGGCATTTTTACCAAATTCTGTTACTATATTTATTTCTTTTAGGTATCTGTGAGGCTTTTTTAAAATCAAGTATTTCTCACCCACTGTTTCCAGGAAAAACACATTAAACAGTCTGAATTTACTATGGAAAACATGGCCATTACCATTTTTGATATATTAAATGCTGGAATAGAGACAACAAGTACCACACTAAGATATGGACTTTTGCTCTTGTTGAAGCACCCAGAGATCTCTGGTATGATCATGATGATGGATAGGTGAAAAGTCCATGTAGAAATTGGCACAAAACACAAATAATAATTCTACACATTACCTGCCCAGACAACATAGAAAATTCTTTTTCCATCATTATTACATTTGCCTACCATTGGATGAATTCTTCTTAAATTAGCTCAAAGTAAAAATAAAAATAAGAGAATGAAATATTTGAAGAACAGCAGCGGTTGTAAAGGCAGTGGTCATTATGTTCCCTGCCATAGTAAAATATCCTTATTTTGAGTTGGGACAGATGCAGTAACACTTGTTTTAGGATGTGAACAGAAATATGCTCCTTCTTTCTCTATGTACCTTCTCTGTCCAGATAAATACATAACTGTCAAAAGGTTTTTAGGTTTTTTTTTGTGGAGATGAGGCTTGAACCCAGGGCTTCATGAATGCTAAGCAGATACTCTATTACTGAGCTATACTTCCTTTTCTTCTCAAATCTGTTTCTATTCAGTTGCATTAGCAATGTGAGGATGTAATTGAGAAACTTATATTCCTGTATTAAAATGACTAGGTCTCCAACAGAAAAGAATTATATCCCACACATAAAATCTTTTTCTATTACGTCCACTTTGTTGTTGTTGCTAGGGATTAAACCCAGGATCTTGTGCCTGATAGCAAGTGTTCTACCATTAGCTGCATTCTTAGTCCCTAGTTGTGAGACAGGGTCTTTCTTTGTAGCTCAGGCTAGTAATTAATTTACTATGTAGGCTGGGCTGTCCTGAAACTCACAATCATCCTGACTCAGCCTCTTGATGCTGAATGCAAGTTTGCAGTACCTAAATTTCTGCCCAACATAATATCTCATGTAAATGCAACATTTTTTCCCACCATTTTCTAAAATCGTAGTCTTCTTCTGAGGTCATTACTTTCACTTTTAAATCATGTTTTGTAATTTGAGGCATTTTAATACATTTTCAAAGGGTATACTTCCTAAGACTAATATCTATGATATAAACTGCAAAATTTCTACTTTAAGGTCTTTCTGCCATCTGACTATAGTTGGAAGATTCCTGTGAACAGTATTACTTAACAACATAGCTTTTAAGTGCTTTTGATAATACACATTGTGAAATGTTTGACACACACTTAGCAAAATAACATCATTAACTCTTATAAGTCCATATTGATTATGAGCACAAACTTTATATAATATTTTACAATCTTTAAACATTTCACAAACTTTTCTGGTGTCATATCTCACTACTTTCACTATAATTTTCTTTCTGTATTTTTTTGCACTGCATCTGTATTCATTATACTATTCTTCTTTCCCATGTCATCATATACTGTGCCATTTTACTAAATATTCTGACTTAATAAGTAGTTCCTGATCACTTTTTTCTTTATTGTTGTGTTGAGTGGGAGGACATTGTCACATTTATAAATACATTACATTTGAATTCATCCCTTCCACTGAGTCCTGGGACAGTTAACAGCAGGTATCACTTACACATTTACATACATGTGTACACATTATCTGCTCCATATTCATCCTCCTATCTCCTTTCCCCATCACTTCCTCCCTCTTTTTGATGCCATCCTGTCTCCCTTGCAGGACTTGTTCTTCCCTCCTGTTCTCCAATTTTGTGGAAGAAAAAAGATAAAAGATAAAAAAGAAAAAGATGTGACTTTTTGCTAGTTTGAGATAAAGATAGTTGCACAGGGAGTTTCTTTGTGATGTTTCCATGCATACATGTATTACAACCCCATTTTGTTCACCTCTTCTAGTCTTCTTCACTCCTCCCTAGTCCCCTTTCCATGATGGCCCCAGCTAATTTAAGATTTCTATATTCATTCCAGTACAGACAGCATATCAACCACATTCAACTTTAGTTTCCTTCCCTTGCTCTATCCCTCCTGCACATGACCTCCCCTTAGTGTGACCTTCATCTCATAGTATTACTACATTTGTTTTGGGTATATGTGTTCTCCACATATGAGAGAGAACATGCAGCTTTTGGCCTTCTGAGACTGGCTAATTTCACTTAAGATGATGATCTCCAATTCCAGCCATTTACCTGCAAATGAGAAAATTTCATTCTAGTTTGTGCCTGAGTAGGTGAGTAGGATTCAATTGTGTATAAATACCACATTTTCTTAATCCATTTGTCAGTGGTGGGGCATCTTGGTAGTTTCCATAACTTAGCTATTGTGAATAGTGCTGCAATAAACATGGGTATGCAGGGGCTTTGCATACCCTGCAAAGCTTACCCATGCAGATGCAAGCTGACTCACATTCCTTCAGGTATATCCCTAGGAATGGTATTGCTGGATCATATGGAAGATCTAATTTTAGTTTTTTAAGGAGTCTCAATACCATTTTCCATAGTGGTTGTCCTAGCTTACATTCCTACCAGCAGTATTTGAGGGTTCCTTTTTCCCACATCCTCACCACCGTTTGTTGTGTTTTGTGTTCTTGATGGTAGCTATTCTAACAGGAGTGAAGTAGAATCTTAGTATGGATTTGATTTGCAATTCCTTTCTGGCCAGGGATGGTGAGCAATTTTTCTTGTGTTTTTTAGCAATTTGGACATCTTCCTTTGGAAAATCTCTGTTCAGTTCATTTGCCTGTTTCTTCACTGGGTCATTGATATTTCGGGAGTTTAATGTTTTGAGCTCCATGTATATCTTGGTTATCAGTCCCTTGTCTGATTTATAGCTGGCAAACACTTTCTCTTATTCTGTGGGCAGCCTCTTCAATTTAAGAACCATTTCTTTTGTTGTGCAGAAGCTTCTTAATTTCCTGTAGTCCCATTTGTCCATCCTTTCTCTTAGTTGCTGAGCCTCTTGAGTTCTACTGAAGAAGTCATTGCTTATTCCTATTGCTTCCAGTGTATTCCCTGCATTTTCCTGTACTAGCTTCAAGGTTTCAAGTCTAATATTAAGGTCCTTAATAGACATTGAGTTCATACTTGTACAGGGTGACAAACATGGATCTAGTTTCAGTTTTCTGCAGGCACATATCCAGTTTTTCCAGCAACATTTGTTAAAGAGGCTGTCTTTTCTCCATCCTATGTTTTGGGTGCCTTTATCAAAAATTAGGTGGATGTCGCTGCTTGGATTCATATTTGGGTCCTCTAGTCTGTTCCACCAAAATTCTTACCTGTTTTTGTGTCAATAACATGCTATTTTTATTGCTATGTCCCTGTAGTATAGTTTGAAGTTAGGTATTGTGATACCTCCAGCTTTGCTCTTTTTTGCTCAGTATTGTCTTAGATATTCGTGTTTTGTTGTGTTTCCAAATGAACTTTAGGGTAGATTCTTCAATCTCTGTGATGAATGTCACTGGGATTTTGATAAGAATTGCATTGAACATGTAGATTGCTTTTGGTAATATAGCCATTTTTACTATGTTAATTCTACCAATCCATGGGCATGGGAGATCTTTCCATCTTCTATAGTCTTCTTTGATTTCTTTCTTAAATGGTTTGTAGTTTTCCTTGTAGAGGTCTTCACATCCTTTGTTTTTTTTTCCTAGGTGTTTGATTTAGAGGCTATTGTAAAGGGAATTGTTTTCCTATACTCTTTCTCAATCTGTTCATTGTTGGTATATAGAAAAGCTTCTGATTTTGTAAATTAATTTTGTATCCTGCTACTTTGCTAAAGCTGTTTACAGTGCTTGATCACTTTTTATGATCATTCTCTTTTAGAAGAAGCTCAGCTTCAACATGAGAAATTCTTCTTATTTTCTCTTTCCCCTTCTCCTCCTGGTCCTTGACTTCCTCCTTTACAGCATCTCCTATGTAGCATGGACTGAACTCAACTTCTGATCCTTCTACCTCAGTATCCTGTGTGCTGGGATTACCACAGTGTGCACTTATACTCAGCTCTTGTTTCTTCTTATACTGTGAAGTTACAGAATTTTCCTGTGCTCCATTCCTAGCTCTCATTGTGTACTAACTAGATAACAAGGCATCCTTTTTTTTTGGAAAATGGGTGATAGATTCAAATAGTATTGGCTTTAAATTCTTACTTAAGCAGTAAGTAGCTCTGTGACCTCACCCTCCTCGACTAGCTCTCCATTGTTTTGCTCCCATTTCTCTTCCAGGGGAATAATATGGGAAAGTAACTGCTTTATCTTAGTGTCCTTAGGAAATATATTCACTTCTTTCACTGGTTTCTTTGTAAACAACACAAAATAAAACCAAACACCTAGAATAATTTAGAGGAATTATAAAGCAATATAATGAATTATGTAGCATATCAAGTACAAAAATGTTACCTTCCACTTTTTACCCTGTAGCGAATCAACTAAATATCTATTCCATTGTTTTGTTTATTAGTCATACACTTCACTGAGTACTTCTTATCTTCTCAGGATTTACATATTTATAGCACAAACCATCATAAAGGAAATAGTAAATTCACATGTTCTTCAGTGATTTTTCAAGATTCTAGATCTTTGAATCTATGAAGCAAAAATTCACAAAGTAGAAAATTAAACTTTAGAAATGGATTTCATAGTATAATTGTATTTTACAAGTACATATAACTTAAGTGTCTGAAGAGCAGACATAAGGGAGGCCTATCTTTTTTCACCCTTATGCAGAAAGCAACAAATAATTTTCCAATTTCCCCGTGTAGCATTACAATGTGATGATGATTAAGACATTGTGTAAAAGATACTTCTTATTCATTTCACATAAATTCTCATTTCTGCCTTGTCAGCTAGAATCCAGGAGGAGATTGAACGTGTGATTGGCAAAAACCGGAGGCCTTGCATGCAGGACAGGAGCCGCATGCCCTACACGGACGCTGTGGTGCATGAGATCCAGAGATTTGTTGACCTGGTTCCAACAAATTTGCCCCATGCAGTGACTAAGGACATTTGGTTCAGAGGATATTTTATTCCAAAGGTGAGGAGTATTTCATCTATACTCATCTTTAGGAATCTTTACCTATAGATATGGCACAATCATAACTTAGGCCTCTAGGCATCTCACTTTCTAGCCAATCTTACATACTTTCTTGTTTGTTGACTCAACAAATAATAGTACTTAGTCTTCCACAGACTTTTCAGAGCACTGATAGCTTTATACTCTGCCTATTCACTGGTACAATCTGATGTCCTCTTCTCTTCTTTCCATGTTATGTGCTTTTACTCTTAGCAATTAGCCAGTATCCTATATTCCTATCTCCTTGCTATCTTGAAGCCTCCCTCTAACAGTCCTAACCAATAGTCTCCTATCTCTTGCTTGCCTTGGGCTACTGATCCCTTCCAGAAAGACCAATAATCTCAGCAGGAGGTTTTAATTATATTTGCCAAGACTCAATATTTTGGCATCATTTCTACCAAGCCCAAATGTGTTCTAAATGTTGCACAATATTTCTTCTTTTAAACCCAACTCAACCTGCTACCTTGTGTGCCACAATGATTATTCTAGTCCTGAACCCTCTTCAAAGTTCCTGTTCTCCACCATCTTCTTTCTCTCAGGTGCCCTGGCCTTCTGCCTGGTAGAGATAATCAGAACATTAGAAGGAAACTCCTCAATTCCCTTCCTATAAATTACGTAGCAATATCCACACAACTCATTTTAATGCCTCTTATTGTGGAAAAATGAACTCTCCTTTTATCATTAGTAAATGGTTTTACTTGGCATGGGTCCCTTTCATCTCACCTTTAAAAGTGTCTCTCTAAAACAATAATTTTGTCTTGGATTTGTTGCATTTAAATTTGCTTGAGACATAGGTAAAGCTTTTCTTTCTCTGAAAATTTCTTTATATTACCTACTTGACTGTAAATTTTTTCTCTCTCTTTGCATTTGGTTTACAGTGGTCTAATTCAAGAGCTGTCCAGAGATATTGTAGCGCTCATATGGAGAAATCAAGGCTCTCCTTCTCTGGCCCTTTCTTTTGTGAAATTTATACTGTTTCTTTTCTGCTTCTATGTGGGCAGTATAAGGAATCTTTGCGCTTGTTTTTCAAGCCAGGGAGACTGAGGTTTATAGTCATAATCTATTCAGTCAGTGGTTTTCTGTCTGATGCCTGCTCTCAAGATGAAGCCATGAAAAATTCACTTAATACCAGTATCTTATCTTAAGAGTCTTCTGTATTGTAGACCTTTATGTTTTCAGCCACAGTCCATTAATTGTATATGCATATATATTTTGCTGTCTTTGTTTCTTTTGTTAAAATTTTTTGTTTCCTTGCAGTGCTGTGGATAAAACCCAAGGCCTTGCATATGCTAGGCAAGTGCTCTACCCTTGAGCTATATCCCCAAACCTGTATGAATGTTCATATCTGAGGTCTCCTTTTTGGAGTTTCAGCTATTGCCCCATTAATATGTCTCCAGTTTACTAATCTTATTAAACATTTCTTTTGTAGTCCCTAAGGCTATTAATTCAATTTATTAATTTTATTTTATGGTTTTTTCACTTTTAAGAGTTCTGTTTTTATAGTTTATATGTATTTAAATTATTCTTTTAAGTACTTGATTATATTAATAATAGTTATGTATCCTTAATGCTAGCAAGTAGTTTATCATATGGACTGTTTCCATTTTGTTTATTGGTTACATTTCCTTCTATCCTGTGTCTACTGTTATTTTTTGTATGGTGAACATTTTGAATGATGCCTTATGGGGAATCTGTTCTGCTGCTTTCTTTAAGGGTATTTACTTTTATTTGGGCAAGCAGTTAAACTAATGACAGATGTTTTTCATTTTGTTAGTGTTGTTGTATTCATTTTTATTCCACCTTAGATTCAATCTTGCATTCAGTGTTTGGCATGATACTTAGTTTAGGGAGGTTTGTTTAGTTCAACCCTCTGGGAATTTTGGGGTCAACAAATAATATCTGAGGTGCTGAAAGTTTTCTCTGCCCTGGGTGAGTTGGATCTTCAGTACCCAGTGTCATAGCACAGCTTCCCTATGTATCTTTAGTTCCCAACTCCCGTTTGTTGTAATGGGTCTCATGGGGTTTCCTTCAACATGCATGCTACCCAACCATAGCCATGGGCTTGGAGAGAGCACTCTTGTACACTTCTAAGATATGCCCAACTTTAGGTTCTTATGCTCCTACACCTTCTCTCACAATTGTAGGTTCTAAATATTGATGTCTCATTCCTAAGCTCAAAATGAATGTTACTTTTCATTGTGAGAGGAAAATACGAGAAATCCAAGGTAAAAATAAGGTCTAATTTCTGTGCCATAAAGTGTCACAATTCAGGATTTTGCTTATTCTTGTTACCAGGTTTATATTTGTTTAGTTGTTAAGATATCTCCAAAATAATTGCACTACCACAGCCAGAATCTTTGGTAGACCAGCCTGGAGAAGTGTTTTGGTAGAAATTAACTTTATATGGAAGCTGCTGTGGGGCTGACCATAGTGTCTTCCTGTACCTCACAGTAGGCATGCTCTGAGTTCACCCAGGTCAGCTAATGAATCTCAGGTGTAACTGTGCTACAAAGGGAGAGGCTCAGGGGGAACTGAAACCTCAGTTTCTCGTTCATATGTGCACAAGGAAATGGCATTTGTTGGACTTGACCTATGGATTTTGTGTGATGAGAACTACATCATAGAATTGGAGGGCCATCCATTGTTTCAGCAAGCATCCAGGAAGATCTGAATTTTAAGTTTGTCTTTGCCAAATAGTAAAAGTGTGAAGACAATGTAGATTCTAAAGTATTGTTAATGATTTCATTACCATCAGAATAGTAACAAGCCACTCTCCACTGAGAACATTAGCATGTAGATAATGTCTGTGCAAAATGTGTGAAGCTATAGCTTGGTTGTAGGGCTGGTATTTCCCATGCACAAGTTCCTGGCTTAAATCCCTAGCATCAAAAAATGTATTTCTTGTATTATTTCATTTAAAATTTATAATAATCTAATGCAAATATGTTTACATTATCATAATGATGAAAATGAAACTCTGAAATGTATTTAACTTCCCTGAGCTTTATTTAACAGAGAGGAAGATTTCATTGATTCTTAACTTACTCCCTATATTACATTATACCTCTGAGTTTAGGAAAAACCTAAATTTGGAAATGTTCTCTCCTTTTCACCAGAATTCTGTAATTCACTTGAAGTACAATAAAAGGGGACCTTTACCCCATCTTTTCATGGTAAGAGATGGGTTTTTCAGGATATGACCTATGAGCTGTTGAATAATTTAAAATGCCTCCTACTATTAAAAGGAATGAACTGGGTATTCAGTGACACCAGAACTCTTAGACAACACTAAAATGATATTTTATTAGTTAACAGCAATGCACTACAGGGAGCTTCCTTGATTACATACAAAGTAAGTGCTAGTGTCAGACTTCAAACAGGGTGAACAAACCCTTGCTTTCAATGAACAATGCCCTGAACTGGGTTTCATGTGAGTTAAGGCTTGTTAGATGGGCATTAGTATGTTCTGTATGACACTGAGCAAATAAATTCTCCTTTTTGTGCCTCAGCTCCTCATCTACATAAAAAAGTAATTGCTGAAGTATGCTTAATTTTTTTTTCAATTCTATGAACTCCTTTATAATCTGGTTTATCTGTTTCATTTCTTTCAGGGCACAAATATATTAACATCTCTGACTTCTGTCCTATATGATGAAAAAGAGTTTCCCAACCCTGAGAAGTTTGACCCCAGCCACTTTCTGGATGCGAATGGCAACTTTAATAAGAGTGACTACTTCATGCCTTTTTCAGCAGGCAAGCAGGCTTTGTTTGCACCTGGGCACTAGGGATCAAATGAGATGGTAGGAGTTTTGTTTGGAGATTTTACTGTGTTGGGTAAATTGCCATTTCTGTGGACAGATGCACAACCACAACGTCAAGTCCAGGTATTTCTTTTTAGATTGTATGTTCCACCTCTTAATTCTGCTTCTTGATATTGAACTAAGATTCTCATGAGTTTCTCCTAGAACCAAGGGTTTTCTCAACTATCTTGATACTTTGAAAAGTTGGTTCACTTAAACTTATTGAGCATCTCATTTGGCATTTTAAAAATCCATGTCAGATTACAAGATACAAACATGGTATGAAGCAAAATTTCCTTCTGAGAGATAGAAAGACAAATTAAAAGACAATGAGACTGAAGTGTTATGAATACCAAGCTGTAGGCTGATGCGGCAGTTCAGAGAGACAAAATCTTATGTCTGGTCTTTTTGGGGTAGGGACAGTTTAATTAGAAGATAAAGGAAATTTTATTGCAGAAAGTATCTTTCTTCAGTTTTAAGGGTATTGGAAAAAATAGGTTTCACCCTCAAAAAGGTTAATGAAGACTTAAATGAACAGACTGTTTTCAGGGGTGAGCAAAGGACAAGGGAAGTAAAGACATGTGGAAAATTACTGGGGACAAGTATCAGCGAGAAAATGTAACCACTCTGGGATTGAAGGTGCAGGGGAAGAGGAGTGATACTGGAATCCCAATAAACCTTAGCTGAGGGACACTGGATGCCTCAACTGGAAATGCCAGCATCAGTGGAGGTATACAGCCAGTGCCCAAGCTGTGACCTGACATAATGAATTGAAGCAATAAATACTCTATTTTTCTATTACCTAATTCTCTGAGTTCATTCAGAAGCCTGAAAGGCACTAGCTCTGCAGTCAGTGAAGCTCACAGAAGTCTGTTTGCTAGGAATAGGTAGGCTTAAGGTACAAATAAAACCAGGTTGTGTCTGAAGAGAGAGATAAAGAATATTTGGCAGGCTTTAAAGGAAAAAACAGGGCAAAGAGTGGAGGGCAAAAGTTCTCTTCTGCAGCAGTAACTGAAAAAGGGACAGAAAAAAGAGATTTGTTCTGGAATATCTAAGACAACGGAACAGACTTTGGTGTTGTGGTTTCAAAATTATGTGCAATGCTCAGGGATAGTGTCAATGTCTCTTGTGTCATCCTACTCAACATTGTTTCTCTGTTTTGGAGTCTACTATCACATGAGATTTCTAATCATTTTACATGTCATGCAGGCCTGCTTTGTCCTAGCAATGTAAATCTCATTACAAGAGCTAAGGCCTTACCTACAGAAGTTACATTCCAGTAATGAAGCTGAAGAATAATTTAAACTTCATGTGAAATGTACTTTATTAGCAGGAAGTGAATTTTATACCTGAGCATATAAAAAAATTATACATAGAATAAGTTGCATCTGAGCTGAATATGAAAGGATAAGGAGAATAACAGGCAGAGTAGAGAAGAGGACTATTCTATTTAGAGTAGTGCCTGAAATCTGAGATAAAGCTTGAAGGTTCCAACTTGTTTGGGGATTGGTGAATAATTGGTAATGTGATGCGTGTGGGGGAACTAGATAGAAGAAGCAAGAAGAAATTAAGTTTTAAGAATTCTTTGTGGCCAAGTTTATAACATATATTTTATATGGTAGGCTCTGGAATAATTTTTAAACAGATGTGTGAGAAGATTGAGATTGATCCCTTTGGATACTGGTTAGGAAAAATAATCTAATGAGATCTGTGTCACTTTGTGAGTCATGTCCGTTGGAAGGGGTGAGCACGTGCATGTGTGTGCTTGTGTGTGTGTGTGTGTGTGTGTGTGTGTGTGTATGTGTGTGTTTACAGAAATTTGTTCCTATAAAGCTTCAGTACAGCAGTGTAAATGTCATTGGACAGAAAAGATTTTTTCATATAGCATGCACACTGAAATTTATTCTGAGGAAAGGAAAGAAACTAGCTATGTGCAAACACAGAGGCAAAGTGGTTAGTTAGTCATTCATTAATATATTTATTAATTCTATATTTATTTAAATCTCTATGTGTGCTAACTTATAATCAGAATTAAATGACTAATCAGTTTGTATGTCATTTTTAGGAAAAAGAGTTTGTATTGGAGAGGGCTTGGCCCGAATGGAGCTGTTTCTAGTCCTGACCAATATTTTGCAGCATTTTATGTTGAAGCCTCTGGTTGATCCAAAGGACCTTGACATCACCCCATCTCTAACTGTTTTTGGCACTATACCCCCCTTCTTTGAGATCTCTTTTATTCCAGTCTAAAAAAATGGTAGGGTCTCAGACTGCTGAATGAGACCCTGCAGCCTCAACTGAGCAAGCAGATAGTCTCTGGCCTGTGTGCCAGCCATTCTGCACCCTTTCCTGAGAAGCAGAAATGCCATCCCTGGGCTCTGCCTCTTCTAATTTTCCCCATCTTTTAAGATCTAGTGCAGATTTGCCTTCTTGACTAAAATCTTACTGCTTCATCTTCAATAAAGTTGCTTTAAAAATACCATTCTGAGATCATAAGCTGTATCTTCATGTGTAACATATAACAAAGTGCAAGCACATTATAAATTTAATATTTTGATGAGCAAAAATTATCAATCAGAAATTATTCTGTTTTTAAAAAGTATGCTTAAAATGTGATGTGAAATTGACTCATCTTATTCCTATGTAACTCATCTTATGCAAAAAAGCACACATACAAGGGACGATTATAATAGCCAGAGAGATTAATGAAGTAAATCAGAATTGGTAAATTTTTTTTTCTTGTTGTGCTGAGTGGGAGTACATTGTGACATTTACTAAAGTTCTTACAATATATCTACTTGAATTCACCTCATCAAGAATTCTTCTTTATCCTCCCCTCCCCCACCATTCTTGTAATAGGTTCAACAGATATCATTTTTCCATTTACATACATGTGTACAAACTATACTACAGAGATATAGTAATTGGTAAGTTTTTGCAGGAATAACTTATCCTTCTTTTTCCAATTCAGTGTTGAAATACACCCACACTTGCAGACATACACAGACATAGACATATTAAGAAAAAGAGAGGGAAATATGTATGTATGTATGCTTATTTTTTATCACACATACACAGAATAGAAGTCTATGTATGTGTGTGTACAAGGTGATTTGGAGGTGATCTTTGTATAATAATTTTCCATAGATATTTTATAAGCCTTTTAAAGTATTCTATGCTTTTCAAAATTATTTTTGCATTTATATATTTATATATATTTCCCTATTCAATGATAATTAGATTATTTTTGAACTGTTAAAATATAAATGCTACTATGTGCATATATGTTTCAGTCATCTTGTTCAGGATGGTCTCCTAGTTGTGGAGTAACTGTATTGTAGTGTATAAGAAGTTTCATTTTTCAGAAATAGTGACAAATAGTGCATTAAATATGTGTTTACTTTTCTGTTGTAAGTAATTTTAAGGACTATTTAGCCAATCCTTATAAACACTGAAGATTGAATTATTTTATAGATTTACTAGTTTTCATTTCCTTTCATAGATTTTCATGTAGAAATTATCATCTAAAATTAGTATGTAAGTGAAATGACCAGAAATTTCTACAAATATCTTCTATACCTGTGTCTTTACCTTTCTTGTCTCTCTGTCCCTATTTCTAGCACTTACTACACATACGCACACACACATGTTCTTGCACTCGATTGTGCATTGTGATCATCTATAAGTGTCAAATATAAGGCTTTGTGAAGAAAAATGTAGTAGAATAATAGGTAAATTCATATTTGAAAGCCTGATGTTTGATGTAGTTTTACCCTTGAAGTGACTGCTGATTTGAAATCAGGATCTGAGAGGCTAAAAGGCTCTGAGATGTCATTTAGCAACAAAAAGAAAGAGTAGGGTTCTTCATGATTCCCACAGGTCTGAACTCTAAACTAACGCAGTGAAACTCTAAAGAGTATAGAACCTCAGTGTATTAATTTGGATAAAATCAACTTGATGGCTTTCTTTAGATCAGTCACTTTATTTCTGATGAGATGAATGTTCTACTCTCTCTTTTCATCACATGAAGCTCATGCCTTGTCCTTTCTTTTATACAGAAGTAGAGAATGGCAGCATAGCAAAACCTAAGTGAATGGCAAATGTAGTGCTTAAATGTTTATAGCTTTAAACATCTACAACAATAGCAAAAGATTTGCAATAAATAACAATTCACCCTAAGGGCTTAGTAAAGACAGAGCAAATTGAACCCAAAATTAAGAGAAGTAAAGAAATAGCAATATCAGATCAGAAATAAATGATAATAGAGCTTGAGTATTCAAATGCTCAATGAAACAAGAGTTACTTTTGAAAAGTGAAACACAAAAACCTTGCATCAAGATGTTAACATAATATCTGAATCTTCAAAATTGCTATAAGTCAACATAAGGTGCCTTCAGTAGCTCAGAGTTAATAGCAAATGGGATTGTATCAAATTTAAAAATTTCTGCACAGCCAAAGAAACAACTTACAGAGTGAAGAGATGAGCTAAGGAATGGAAGAATACATTTGCTGACTACTCATATGACTTTTTTGGGAAAATGAATATTCAGAATCCAGAGAGAATTCAATTATCAGACATGAAAGAATGAGTGAATCCATCAATAAAAGGTGAAATGAATGAAACAGAAAGTTTTAAAATGATGAATAATTGACCAGAAAATACATGAAAAATTTCACATCTTTATCCATCAGAGAAATGCAAATCAAAACTACATTCAGATTCCATCTCATCCCAGAATGGATATGATAAATAAAGAAAAAAACAACAAAAGTTGGGAGGTTGCTTGGGTGTGGCAGAAAGGAACCCTTACACACTGTTGGTGGGTATGTCATTTAGTGTACCTGTTACAGAAATAGTATGGAGCTTCCTCAAAAATTAAAAATAGAACTTTAATATAATCCAGCTATATCATTTCTGGGTTCCCCCACAAAGAATTGATGTTAGTTGCTATAGAAATACCATCATACAGAGTATTTTTGCTGGAGTGCTCACAAAATCCAAGTCATTAAATTAGTATAAATGCCCATAAGCTGATGAGGGATAAGGAAAATTTGACATACGCACAGAATGGTTTTTATTCAGCCACAGAGCAGAACAAAATCATGTCATTTGTAGGAAAATGATGCAACTTGATATCATTATGTTAAACAACAACAACAAAAAACCCTCGATGTCTCACAAAGACAAGTATTCCTTTACTCTATCATATGAAATTTAGTGGATAAAACACATGCAAATAAAATTGGCATTTAGGGTTGTATAAGAATAAAGGGGCTGTTGGGAGGTCAGATAAGAAAGGGTAATAAGTGAAGTGATAAAAGTACATCATATGCATGTATGGAAATGTCAAAATGAAATTCATTACTTTGTACCATTAATATGTGCTAATAAAAACTAAAAATTAAAAAACAAACTATTAGGTAAACTAAGGAAAAAGAGAGAATACTATAATGCCCAAAAAAATGAAAGTACAGGTAGAAAAATATGACATGGCAACATGTATGACAGAAATGCAAATGATCTTTGGAGAGCAATTGGATCTATTTCTGAACATATAACCATGAAAACTGAACTTTGAAGACATAAAAAAGTAGGCCAAAAAGGAGTTGCAAAATTTCTTAGATTGTAATAAAACATCTAAGAAATAAAAATCCATGACCAAATGGGTTATTTGTTGAAATCTGAAAAAATTTAATGAAGAAGTAATAATAATTTGTTTGGAGGAATCACAATTCCCAACTTCAAACAATACTATAGAGCCAAGTAATAAAAACAGCATACTACTAGCACAAAAACAGACATGAAAACCAATGGAACAGAATATAAGACCCAGATATGAATTCATGCAACTATGCCCATCTGATTTTTGACAGATGTTCCAAAACATACAGTGGAGAAAAGACAGCCTTTTCAGTAAATGTTGCCAGGAAAACAGGACATATGCATACAGAAAACTGAAACTATATCCCTGTCTTTCACTCTGTACAAATACCAACTCAAAGTGGATTAAGGACTTTATTAAAAGAACAGAAGCTTTGAAGCTAGTGCAAGAAAGAGTAGGGAGTACACTGGAATTTATAGGTATAGGCAATAACTTCCTAAACAGGATACCAATGGCTCGGAAATAAGAGAAATGACTGACAAGTGAGATTAATGAAACTAAAAAGCTTCTACACAACAAAAGAAATGGTCACCAGATTGAAGAGGCAGCCCACAGGATGGTGAGAAAACCATTGGCAGCTAGGGATTAGCAATGAGAATATATAGGGAGCTCAAAAAACAAAACTCCCCCCAAATCATTGACCCAATGAAGAAATGGTGCAACAAAATGAACAGAGCTTTTTCAAAGGAAGAAGTCCAAATGGCCAAAAAACTCATGAAGAAATGCTCAACATCCATGGATATAAAAGAAATGCAAATCCAAACCATGTGAAGATTGTATTTCACTCCTGTTAGAATGGCTATAATTAAGAACACAAACAAAAACAAATGGTGGAGAGGATGTGGGAAAAAGTAACCCTCATATATTTGCTGTTGATAGGAATGTCAATTAGTACAATCACAATGGAAAACTGTGTTTTCCTCAAATACCTAAAAATAGAAATGCCATATGATACAGCAATACCACTCCTATGGATATACCCAAAGGAATATGAGTCAGGTTACAATAAAGTCACCTACATGCCCATGTTTATTGCAGCATTATTCGCAATAGCTAAGCTATGGAAATAGACAAGATTTCCCATTTCTTATGAATGGACTATGAAACTGTGTTATTTACATACAATGAAATTTTAGTTAGTCATGTTTTCTCTAGTTCATGAAATATATACACAATACAAATACAAGCAATATTATGGAAGGTCTCCTATGAGAGAGGTATGACAAAAGAAGGAAATTAAGATGAATATGGTTGACATACTTCCTATATAAGAAGGGATATTGAATTTTAAACATGTTGAAATCACCATAAGTATGGGATTAAGATAGAAAGGAGAAAAATAGAGGAAATGAATCAGTTTGGGTTATAATGCATATATACATGGAAATGTCATAAGGAGACTCCCTGTATAGCTATTTTAAACAAAAATGTCCTTTTTTATGCTTTAAAACCTCAGAGAACAGGAGGACAGAACAGGTCCTGCCTGGGGGAGGGGGGGTGGGGTTGGTGGTACCATTGGGAGTGGGGAGGATGTGGGGAAAGGGTATAGGAGGGTTAGTATGATGCAAATACTGTATACCATGTTTG